GAATTCCCCAGCCAGCGAATGCTGGCTGGGGAATTCTGGGAGTTGAAGTCCAGACATCTTCAAGTTGCCAAGGTTGAGAAACACTGTTCTAGAGAATGTCAACCTATCATTTTAATACCTACATTCTAATACATTCATAGTATCTCTTTCCACGTCCACGTTTGTGTCCATATTTTCTGTCTGTCCATCCATCCATCCAATCATATTTGTGTCCATGTTTATCACCTATCCTACCCTATTTAACCACAACGCTATCCAATCCTAGGTGTCAAAAGATCATGCACTTCCAATGTAGCCCTTGATGCTCCCCCCCCCCCTTGTTGCGTTCTGATGACAAAACACTTTTCAAGTAGCTACTCCGTGCAATCCCAACTCCTTGTGATGTTATATTTGTGGTCGGTGATGGAGAAAGCTACCTAGGATGGTGTAATTAATTCCAATGTGAATTAGCCCTGTTGACCTGATCAACAAGCTCTACGCGGATAAAAACCCCGGGAGGAAAATGCCACAGGAACAAATTATTTACTGGGTTGAGCAAGAAACTCCATTGTCTTTCAAACTCCCATTGATGCAAGTTTCCTTCCTTCCTTCTCAAATGGGCGACGGGAGAGAATAGTTGGAGCTCGGGACTGACTGAACGATTGGCAGGTCGCCCTTCTGGCGGGAGTTCGCTTAATGACCGTTCAGACACGGCACTGGGAAAAAGTTTGCCTCGCCGTTTTTTTTCACACTTGCCACCGTTACACTATCCCACTGTGGTCATGTGATCAAAATCGAAACGCCCGGCAATTCATTCATAGTTATGACGGTTGCAGTGTCCTAGGGTCTGTTTTTAGGACCTTCCGACGAGCAAAGTCAATGGGGAAATCAGGTTCACTTAACAACCGTGTTACTAAGAACCGTGGAGGCACAGTGGTGAGATTGCAGTATTGCAGGCTAATTCTGCCAAGTGCCAATAGTTTGAATCTCACCAGGCTCAATGTTGATTCAGCCTCCCATCCTTCTGAGGTCAGTAAAACGAGGACCTGGATTGTTGGGGGCAAGGGGCTGACTCTGTAAACTGTTTAGAAAGAGCTGGAAAGCACTGTGAAGTGGTATATAAGTCTAAGTGCTAAGTGGGAAGGAAGGAAGGACTGTGAAGTGGTATATAAGTCTAAGTGCTAAGTGGGAAGGAAGGAAGGAC